GCATCAATCCAACTGTCGCCTCGACCCGTAACTGATGTATGAGCAAGTAGTGATTTTTGACATATTCTAATGCTGTTCAACGTTGCTGCCAAAGCATCAAGATCAACATCGTCACCATCCATTGATGTTTCTCTCGTTATTCTTCTTCTTCTATCGTTCAACTACTACTAAACAAGCAGCAACAACAGCGACAACAATGGCAAGCAGATGATGTTCTGAAAATAGAGCGGTGTAAAATTTGTAAAATGAAAGGAAAAAAGAAGAACGACATAGAAAAGGAAATTTCTCGACTGTTGTTTTAGAAAACAATTTGTCAGCATAAATTTGTGCTTTTATTATTATTGTCATCAACACTTTTTTGTTCTACTTATTTTTTTCCTGCTTTTTTTAGTCAGTTTTTCAAAACTCATTTTCATTTAAAATCATTGTTGTAGACGCATTTGTTGTTACTGTTGTTGCTGCTGTCGTTATTGTTGTTTTGGTGGTTTAATTATATACCAGATGGAAAAGATTAGCAAAAAAAAACATATTAACAAATGGGCTAAACATCTCAGCAGCTTGTTTAAAGCGATATGCTAAATGAAATATGTTGCAAAGAAAAAAAAAATGAATAAATCAAAGTAGATAAAAAAAAAATACTTGACAAAAATAACGAAATATGATGTATAACACAAATGCGGCAGGTAATTTTCTAAAACAGGAAAAACCTCACCAAATAGTGTGCCAAATTTTTGATCAACAACTCAAATGCCAAAAAGTTGCTAAACGATCACCTTCAGAAACATCAAAATATCAAACTCTAATCGGCTAGACTAGTTAAAATTGGGCAGCCCAAACATCGCTGCAATTGTTTTCAGCCTACGTTGTTTGTTTTTCTATACGAAGAAAGAATAAACAAAAAAAAGCACTTGTTGAACAGAATGAAGGGTTCTTTACCAGTTCCCTAAAATAGTGTTGATGTGATACAGGTGGTTTCCATACAGCTAAACAACAACCATATCAACGATAGTTAAAAAGCTGTCAATGCACAGCACTATCAAAGTAACATTAAAGTTTATGCAACTTATACCACTGTACTCAAACTCTAAACTAAAAACTGCAAACATAATTTCAAATTATTAATTTATATATAAGCATATAACTGCCATATCTCCGAATGATAATATGCTGCAATAGCAGCATAAAAAAATGACAAAAAAAATTTCTAATTTTGTTGGATGAAATAAAAAACACAAAAAATTATTACGGCTTCAGTGGCATTTACTTTTGGGTATGACGAAAAGGTTGATTAAATATAAAAAGCAAAATGAGAACAAAAAAAATAAAAAAATAGAAATTGCAAGAGGAATTAAACATAAGCTGCTAAAAATTCATTGAACAAAACGCTTAACAAATGATATCTGAAAGCAAATGGCTCAAAACAAAACAAAGCAAATCACGAAAGAAAAAATTGAACGGAATGGCATTGACAAAGCTTCGTTCTATATCTATGATGATGGTGGTGGTGATTGTACGAGCGACAATTCAATGCATCTTTAGTTCTGTTGACCGAATCAAGGAGGAAACCAGTGAAAACAGTTGATGTATCAGAAGGAAAAAAAAAAGGGAGAAGAAAACTCTCGCACTTTTTCACCCTCCTCCTTCTTCTTCCTGCTCTTCTTTTCCTTCGTCTTCTTCGTCGTATTCGTTTTTCTTTATTTTTCTATTTTTTCTGCAGCACATAACAACATAACCGCATTTACTTTCCGAGGCTTTCCTGCAAAAGAAAAAAGAAAAGAAAAAGAAACTTCCAGTTGCCCAGGAAAGCTTTTTTTTTATTTTATTTGGAAATCACAAGGAACAACAAACAACAGCAAGAACAGCAATGATGATAGCTCCGATAGCAAAAAGAGACGACGTTGTAGGAAGACATAGGCAACAACGTGAGCCAAACAGGACAGGGAAACATTAGTGGTCGGAACGACAGCAGCAACAGCAGATCCCTTGGAAGATGTTTGATCGCTGAAGAGGATCTGAACTAACGTGAATGAGGGAGGGGTAAACGACGGCCGACAAATAAAACTCGGTGCTCGGTGTGCTTCATTAATTACTCAGTGTTTGTTCTTTAGAAATATTCATCATAAAAATCGGATTAAGCTGTTG